CTGCGGGACTCGCTGCGTTTGGGAACGCAACTGTTGATGGACAAGTACTGCCAGAACACCCTGGTCAGGAAACAGGAAGAACAGCTGAAAGTTTGTGGAACGAAATCTGCCAAGAAATTATTAGCGTAAGCCCTCCCACGAGCACATCTAGACAATGTGCACCTTGCTTGCACCTGAATTGCATGTAGCAAGAGGTGAAACTTTCATTTTGTTGTTCACTCCATTATTTGAAGGCCGACAGCGAAGGTACTGAGGCTCAGCAGTTAAAGGGAACATTCGCTTACCACCCCAACGGAAAAGACTGCAAGGCGGCAGTGCAGTACTGGAAGGACGGATTTTCACTCTTCAAAAATGAGCTACCCCCAACGTACACAGCTCCCGAAAACCCTGCGGTGTACACCGAAAAAGCCATTTCCTTTGTGGCCCTCTATAACCCTCAGCCGAAGCCTGTAGCCAGCTGCGCCCTAGTCACCTGCACACAAGCAGGCGAGTTTGCTGCCCTACGAATGTTAAAAAGCCACGAAGGGCCCTCGACAAGAAGACTTCAAGGTGAAGAGGATTCTACTACTGCCGTTATCTGCTTGACGAACCCGGTGGCGCTCTCGAAGGGACAACAGCCATTCGAGTAGGAGCATAGACCAAAGCCACAGACTTGGCTGCATAGGACCCACAGTGCATCGGAAACATAGCATGACTGTGTCTTTTGCATGTAACATTTCCTCCCGTAAAGGCAAGTGATCAGTGCATTGCGCTGTGCCTGAATGTGCAGGGAAGAGGTGTGGCAGAAGATTGTCCAAGCTATAGTTGGTACTGAGGAGAGCAACGGGGTTTCGCCAGTCAGGCCATCATTGGAAGTTGGGTTCATAATGATGCTTTTTGCCTATGGTCTTTTTTAAGCTGTCGGTCTCTGTGCAGTGTGAGGGCACCGAATGAACAGGTCAGTGCCTGTTTTATCCATTTTATCCAAAACGTAACACGGCACCGAAGGCCAAAAAATCTCTCCTATTGTTGTATCAGTCATATTGGGGAGCGACGGAAAGGAACCTTTTTATAGCCACTGTGCAGGGTTGCTACGGGCAGATGCTCGTGATGCACGCCATGAGTTGCCAGGCTCCACTTTTGGTATTTTCCAGACATATGCATGCCTAGAAGGGATAACGATTTTCCTTGTAGCTGCAACGCACTGCCTATGTCCTATCTGGTGAAGCCGTGCCGGTGATCTAGTGGTGTTCTACACCGTGGCTGTCTGTTGGGACAGGTTGAACATCCCCACGCGGGGTCACTTATTATGGGCAGGCTTGTTTAATCTCACGTTTTTGCGTCCTTACTGGTCAAGAAAATGCACAAATAAAAATTATTATAATCATTTTGAGCGTAATGCCGTGGAAAAATCTTCTCTCTAGGCTGTGTCCCGCAGCGAGGCGCGATGGATGCGCTGGGATCCCCATTTAGAGGGGAAGGGCCCAATTAATAGTTTCTTCGTCTCCTGCCCTATCCTTTCTCTTTTTCTTGAACAAAAAAAAGAGGTGTCCACATATTGCTTGATGAGCGCTTGCTTCGCGACGAATTTCAGCCGCTTGAAATGTAGCGCAGTGTTGAATTGCATTCATGCGTTGTGCCGGTTTTCTTCAGATAAGCTTATAGGGATAGGCACATAAGTAATTCAGAGGATATTAATGAATTGCGTTTCAACATATAGCTTTTTGTGCTGGTGGGCGGCGTAGATCCTTATCTTCAGCTGGTGTTGCGGTACCGCAGAACTGCAGAACCTGGAGAACCTGCAACGCACGCTGTGGAAATCACGAAAGGCAGAAATCCGCCCCCTGCATCATCGCTAGAAATTTTCCACATTTTTTTTTGTTTAACACGAATAATCTCGAAAAAGGAGATGAAGGCGGAAATAATGGCATCAACTGCAAACCCAGCCGCTCGAACCTGGTCCAGATGTCCCCATACTGCGCATTCGTCCAGTGGCCAGGGGGAAATAGCATTCACCAGGCTCTTTCAGATATTCCTTCTCCTTCCTTTTCCTCTGTAGCATTTTTATACCAACGATGTTTCGTCTCCTTTTTATCCCACTCGTTCTCCTGCCTGTGTTCTATGGACACAAGGCAGCAAGTGCTGGCACAACGGGAGCAGCAGGTTTGCATATTGCTCATGTCTTCCACGAAAATATTCTTCATACAACACTTTCGGTATTTCCTATTCTACGTACCACTATTTATCTCAGTATTTTGTGAATGTTGGAGTTTCTCCTCAGAAACGATAAATTGTTTAAGCGAGATGAATCAGGAGAGGGCAGCTGCAGGACTCGCTGCGTTTGAGGAGGCAACTGATGGAGCACAAGTGCTGCCGAAAAGCGCTGGTACTGGATCAAAGATAACAGCTGCCACGCTGTGGAACGAAATCTGCCAAATAATAGTGGGGGTGAGCGTTATCATTGGCGTATTTCTTTCGCGAGTTCTGGGACGAGTAGCCGAGCAATATCTTGCAGACTACAGCGCAAGTAGTAAGAAGTGCCGGGTTTGTCTTGCTTTTCATTCTATTATATGAAGGAAGCGGAGGAAAGCACTGAAGCCGAACAGTTAAAGGGAACATTCGCGTACTACCCCGGCAACAAGGACTGCAAAGCTGCAGTGCAGTACTGGAAGGACGGGTTTTCGCTGTTCAAAAACGAGCTGCCTCCAAATTACACAGTTTCGGATACCCCTGAGGTGTACAGCCACAAAGCCGTTTCCTTTGTCGCCCTTTATAACCCTCAGGCGAAGCCTGTAGCCAGCTGCGCCTTTGTCACATGCACAAAAGCGGCAGACTCCACTGACCCAGAACTCTCAAGAAGTCAGAAAGGGCGGTCAACAAGAAGGCTTCAAAGTTCACAGGAAATTCATAATGCTGTTATCTGCTTAACGAACCCGGAAGCGCTGACTGAGGGGCAAGCGCCATTCAAGTAGGAGCACACCCCAGGACTACGGGTTCGGCTGCACAGGACCCAAAGTGCAACCGAAAACTAGCATGACTGTGTCTTTTGTATGTAACATTTTCTCTCATGGAGTTAAGTGATCAATGCATTCTGCTGTGTGTGGATTTGCAGGGAAGAGGAGTGGCAGAAGATTGTTCAAGCCATTGTTGGTACTAAGGAGGGCAGCGTGGTTTCACCAGTCAGGCCGTCATCGGCAGTTGGGTTCATTATGATGCTTTTTGCCTACGGTCTTTTTTAAGTTGTCAGCCTCTGTGGAGAGTGCGGGCACTGAATGGACATGTCAATGCCCGTCTTATCCAAAAAGTGAACCAGGAAGAAAAACTAAAAAATCTCTCTGAATGTTTTATTGTTCCTATTGAAGAGTGATGAGGATGAACTTTTTTGTAGCCCCTGTAAAGGGGTATCACGAGCAGGTGCTGGCGGTACACGCCATGTGCTGCCGGGCTACATTTTTGTTCTCCACACGCATGCATGTCTATTAAGACTAACTATTTTCCGTGTAGCTTCAACACCGTGTGAATGCCTTAGTGTGTGTAGCTGTGTCGGCGATCTAGTGGTGGTCTATACCGTCGTTGACTGTTAGGGCAGGTTGAGCATCCTCAGGCCGGGTCACTTCAAATGGGCAAGCTTCTTTCACTACACGTTTCTGCGTTCTTATTGATCACTAAAATGCAAAAAATTATTGTGGGTATTCTAAGCTTAATGCCCTATGTCCTCTCTCGGCTGTGACCCGCAGCGTGGCGCGATGGCGTTGCTATCCCCATATAACGAGGAGAAACCCGATCAATAGTTTCTTCGTCACTTACTTTATCCTTACTCGTTTTCTTGAGCAAACAAATAGGTTTCCAGATATTGCCTGATGAACACTTGTTTCGCGACGAATTTCAACTGCTTGAAGTGGACCGCAGTGTTGAGACAAATTCGTGCATTGTGACCCTTTTTGTTCTCCGATGCAGTCATAGAGATAGGCGCACAAATAATTCAGTCGATGCTAATGAGTAGAGTTTAAGCATATAACTTGTTGCGCGTTGGACATCTGGTGGGCGGTGTAGGTCGTTATCTTCGTCCGGTGTTGCGGTACCGCAGAACTGCAGAACCTGGAGAACCTGCAACGCACGTGGTGGAAATCACCAAAGCCAGAAACTGGCCTCTGGCACTGCTTCCAGAATTTGTCCACATTTTTTTGTTTAGCATGAATAATATCAAATGTCGAGGTGAAGGAGAAAAGAATCTCGTCAATAACAAGCCCAGCCGCTCGAGGCGGGCCCACCGACGTCCCCATACTGCGCAATTGTCCAGTGTCCAAGGGGAAATAACGCTCATCAATCCCTTTCAGATCTCATTCCTTGTTCCTTTTTTCTCTAGCATCTTTTGTATCAAAGATGTTTCGTCTCGTTTTTATTCCATTCGTTCTCGTGCCTGTGTTCTATGGACACAAGGCAGCAAGTGCTGGCACAACGGGAGCAGCAGGTATGCGTATTGCTCTCATCTGCCTCCAAAACTCAGTTGAACTCACAACGCTTTTGATATTTCGTACTTAAGTTAAGTCATTTTCTCATAATTTTGTCTGTGGATGTTCGAGTTTCTCCTCAGAAACGATTAGTTGTTTAAGCGAAATGAATGTGGAGAGGGCCGCTGCGGGACTCGCTGCGTTTGAGGAGGCAACTGATGGAGCACAAGTGCTGCCGAAAACCCCTGCCGCTGTACGAGATATAACTCCTGCTACGCTGTGGACCGAAATCTGCAAAATAATAACAAAGGTAAGCCGTGTCGTGGGCGCACTGCTATCGCGAGTTCTGGGGCGTTTGTTCAAGCAATGTCTTGCAGACTTGGCGCACATAGAAAGAGACTGTGCGTACGCTTGGCTTTTCATTATATTATGTGAAGGAAGGAACCGAAAGCGCCCAGGCCAAGCAGTTAACGGGAACCTTCGCGTACTACCGCGGCGAGAACGACTGCAAGGCAGCAGTGCAGTACTGGAAGGACGGGTTTTCTCTCTTCAAAAACGAGCTGCCCCCAGCGTACAAAGCGTTGAATGACCCTCAAATATATACCGAGCAGGCTGTTTCCTTTGTCGCCCTCTATAACCCTCAGACAAGTCCTGTAGCCAGCTGTGCCTTTGTCACCTGCACAACAGCAGCCGGGTTTACTTCCCCAGACGGAGGGAGCTCAACAAGAAGACTTCAAGGTGAAGAGGATACTCCTTCTACTACTACTGCCGTTATCTGCTTGACGAACCCTAAGGCGCTGACCGCGGGAGAACCGCCATTCAAGTAGGGGCACAGAACAAAGCCACAAAATTGGCTGCATAGGAGCCAAAGTGTATCGAAATCATAGCAGGACTGTGTCTTTTGTACGAAGTATTTTCTCTCATGGAGTTAAGTGATGCACTGTGGTGTCTGGATTTGCAGGGAAGAGGTGTGGCAGAAGATCGTTCAAGCCATAGTTGGCACTGAGGAGAGCAACGGGGCTTCGCCAGTCAGGCCGTCATTTGCTGTTGGGTTCATAATGATGCTTTTTGCCTACGGGCTTTTTTAAACTGTCAGCCTCTGTGCAGTTCGAGGGCACTGAATGGGCATCTCAATGGCAATGCCAGTTTTATCCAAAAAATAGTCCAGCACGGAAGAGCAAAAAATATCTCTTAATGTTTTATCGTTTTATATTGAAGAGTGATGAAGTTGAACCTTTTTATAGCCACTGTATAGGGGCGTAACGCGAAGGCGCTGGCGATACACGCCATATGCTGCCAGGTTCTATTTTTGATGTTTTCCAGGCGTGTGCATGCCTACTAGGACTAACCTTTTCTCGTCTAACTTCAACACTCTGTCTACGTCCTACTGTATGTAGCTGTGACGGTGGTCTAGTGATGGCCTATACCGCGGCTGCCCGTTAGAACAGATTGAACATCCTAACGCCAGGTCGCTTCAAATTGGCAGGCTTGTTTCATGGCACGTTTCTGCGTCCTTACTGATCAGGGAAGCTTACAAATGAAACTTTTTATACGTACTTTGAATGAAATGCAATGGAGATATATCCTGTCTCGGCTGTGTCCCGCAGCAAGGCGCCACGGAGTTCCAGGCCCCATTTGAAGGGGAAAGGCCCAACCAATAGTTTCTTCATCTCCTGTGTCACTATTTCTCTTTTTCTCGAACATAGAAACGGGTTTTCAGACACTACTTGATGAGCCCTTCTTTGTTGGCGAATGGCGATCGCTTGAAGTGTAGCGCGGTGCCATATGAAAATTCGTGCGTTGTGGCGATTCTTGTCCTTCGATACAGTAATAGGAATGGGCACACAACTAATGCAGACGGCGTTAATGAGTTGCGTTTCAACATATAACGTTTTGTGCGTCGGATATATTGGTGGGTGGCGTAGACCTTTATCTTTAGCTGTCTATGCAGCACCACAGAACTGTAGAACCTGCAGCGCACGTGATAGAGATCACGAAAGGCAGAAATCTGCCCCTAGCGCTCTTACTAGAATTTATTCACAATTTTTAGTTTAAGATGAATGCACTCAAAAATGGAGGTGAAGGAGAAAATAATGCCATAAGCAACGAGCCCAGCCGCTCGAGCCCGGCCCACAGACGCCCCCATCCCGACCTTTCGTGTAGTCTGCGGCGCCTACTGCTGCGACTACGCTGTTTCCTGTTCCTCGAGCAGGCCTACAAACTACGCCTAGCGTAGCCCCATTTCTCGGATACTATAGCTTTATTCCATCGAAATGCACCAATTCTTAAGTGTTTCAAAATCTGTCTGTTCGATTCGCCTAATAGACAGTTTTTCTGATTTTAATCCTATTGGGAGGGTCCTGTCATCCTCCAGTGTTGCGGCCCCTTGTAGGTCGCTAGCTAGCTATCATCTCTAGGACATTAGCCAGCCCCATTGTAGTGCCTGTGCACTACAACTTCCCCCCTTGCCGGACTGGAGAGACCTACCCCAAAACACATTATTTTTGCCTTTTCAATCTCTGTGCTTTTCTAAAGCTGACGTCGTGAGCACACGCGGAGCGCAGCGCTCCCTCCCCCCTCCTCATTGAAGGGTGCCTGTGCTGCAGGAGTTGGAACGTGGCGGACCCATACGTCTACGCCTCGGAAGGACCAATGTTGTTTCGAGCCTGAAGACGTTTTCGTTGGCGGCGGCGCCAAGCGCGAAGCAAAGCCGGGCAGCCGGTAAGGTGATGAGCTGGCTCCCATGTGGCTTGATCTTCAGGTGTCCCGCGCCACTTCACGAGGTACTGGGCTGCATCTCCCGAGCCGCGTTGGTCCATAACATAGTCGACTTCGTATTCCTCTGTGGGATTGCCTGCTGCAACGTGGATAGGAGGCCAGGCAGCGTCGGCTGCCGAGGGAACCAAAGCGGGAAGGCGGGGGCGGTAGGGAACTAGCTGCGAATCGTGGAAAACGTTTTGAGATTCATAGGTGGGAGGCAGAGCGAGGCGGTAAGCGACAGTTCCGTCTTCTCAGTGCTAGGACGGGTGGGCGCTCTACTGCTCTTGTCCACCTGCTAGGGCCGGCCTCGTTCATACGTAGGGCAGTCCCGAGCATAGTGTCCCACACCGCCACACTTCTTGCACATTTCCCCCGGACGTCTGGTACGTTTCCCTTTGCTAGGGCAGACACGTGCCGGATGTCCGCGACCCTGACACTCAAAGCAGTTAGCGTGGGTTCCCCCAGAACGATTTTCAATTTCCTGGCGCTCACCAAGTCCCCTAACATGGACGGCCGCCCTAATGGCTCGCTTGATCCTTGCTCGGAGTTCCAGCACACTTTGCTTGGCCTCGTAGAACCGTGTTGCGGCGGTTGCCGCTTGTTCCCACGACTGATATTTCACTTTTCCGTTATTGGTTATTGAAAGGCGGAGGTCTGTCGGTAGCCCGGTGCAGTAATACTTCGCGAGTTTGTCGGGGGCAAAATCCAACGCTTGCTCCGCTACAGCCGCAAACCGGTCCGTGTATTCCTTCGGGTTACCATTCCACCGTACTTTAGCCAACTCCTTTAACAATTGACTCTGCGACATTGTCCTGTGAAACCGCTCCAAAAGCCTGCGCCGTACTGTTGCCCAGTCGCTTAGGTCGATAGTTCTCCGTAGATACATCCAATACGTTACAGCCGGGCCCACAAGGTGGTCTATAAGTGCATTTCCCCACTCGCGCGGTTCCAATCTCATCTGGGTGTACCGGCGCTCGATGCGCAGCAGAAAGGCCATCATAGTGCTGCCGTCTTCAGGTAGTATAGGAGGCGTTTCGCTGGATGCTCCGGTTCCCCCTAATACAGTTCTTATCACACTCATTACGAACTGCAATTGGTTCCAGGTGATGAAGGGACTGTCCCCTGGCGTAACGTTGGGCAAAGGTGTCGCCTGCGGGGGCGCCTCCTTACGCCCATGCGGCTGCTCTGTCACGGTGGGCTTCGGTGTCGCGTGGCGATGATGGGCTGGTGACTCGCTCGGCATTTTGTTGACTGACATTGTAGGAGTCTCCTGCGGTGTGGGGCCAATAACGCGTCCGTTGCCGAGATGCATCCCTTACCGAGCAAAGATTTCTAGGCGCGAGTTATTAAAACATAGTATTTCTACTCCCAAGTTCGGAAAAAACAAAGATTTCATCCCCGGAACAGCCCCCAAATGTAGTGCGCGGCGCCGACTGCTGTGACTACGCTGCTTCCTGCCCCTCGAGCAGGCCTACAAACTACGCCTAGCATAGCCCCTTTTCTCGGACGCTATAGCTTTATTCCATCACAATACAACAATTCTTATGTGTTTCAAATCTGTCTGTTCGATTCGCCCCACTCTGGGATCTCGTCTCCTAGGCCCTATTGGGAGGAGGCCCGCACTGGCGCCGGCGCTATCGCCAGCCCCAGTCTCCACACAATTTCCACGCATTTAACGTATTCATTAGAACCAATAGACAGTTTTTCCTATTTTAATCCTATTGGGAGGGTCCTGTCCTTCTCCAGTGTTGCGGCCCCTTGTAGGTCGCTACCTAGCTATCATCTACAAGCCGGGTCACTTCAAATGGGCAAGCTTTCACTACACGTTTCTGCGTTCTTATTGATCCCGAAAGTGCAAAAATGAAAACTTTTGTGGGTTTTCTAAGCTTAATGCCCTATGTCCTCTCTCGGCTGTGACCCGCAGCGAGGAGCGATGGCGTTACTATCCCCATTTAACGAGGAGAAACCCGATCAATAATTTCATCGTCCCTTACTTTATCCTTACTCGTTTTCTTGAGCAAGCAAATAAGTTTCCAGATATTGCCTGATGAACACTTGTTTCGCGACGAATTTCAACCGCTTGAAGTGGACCGCAGTGTTGAGACAAATTCGTGCGTTGCGACCATTTTTGTTCTTCAATGCAGTCATAGAGATAGGCGCACAAATAATTCAGTCAATGCTAATGAGTATAGTTTCAACATATAACTTGTTCCGCGTTGGACATCTGGTGGGCGGTGTAGGTCGTTTTCTTCGTCCGGTGTTGCTGTAGTGCACAGGCACTACAATGGGGCTGGTTAGTGCTCTAGAGAGGATAGCTAGCCAGCGACCTACGAGGGGTCGCAAGACTGGAGGGGGACAGGGCCCTCTTACCAGACAAAAAGTAAGAGAAATCGATTATTATTTTATATGCACACGTGAATTCGTGGAAATGCGTGGAGACTGGGGCTGGAGACAGCGCCGGCAACAGGGCGAGTGTAGTGCACGGCGCCCGCAGCTGCGACTACGTGCTCTCAGTCCCTTGGGCAGGGTCTATAAACTGCTCCCTACGCTAGTCTATTTCCTAGAAACTCCAGCTATATCGATTAAGAATACAAAATCACGAGTTTATCAAATCTGTCTGTCTGTTTCGCACCCTCCTGGGAGCTCGCCTCCTAGTCCCTAAGGGAGGGAGGCTTGCCCTGGCGCCGGCGCTGTCTCC